AAATGCAGCCTTTTCAACAGGCAAATGAACTCATGCATCCCAATTTAGGTAGATGATCTTTCTCTACAATCAGTAGAGACCGACCTTCTCCCCAGGCTGGACCCGTACAGCCGAGGAGTTCCCTGCCTTCTTGTCACAGTGCTGTGTTGGCACTAAAAGATACAGTAAAAATAGATGCTGTCTCCAGGCTGTCCCGGCAGAATGGCTGTCTCTCTGTCCCTAGGCTCCAGCCCTACCCAGCCTTCTCCAGCCCCAGAGCAGAGCAGTCCACTGCTTTTTAAATGTATCTTTCTGGGGTTTTCCTTGTTGCCCTGCCCTTCCACCCTTGTGATTAAATGGCTTTCTCAAAGAGGCCAGTGTGCAGCACTCTCTTCCTTAGTAACCCTGAGACACAGTGGCCAAAGGAGGAGATGAAAGCCCCTGGGCCCTAGAATACAGTGAAACACATTGGAGCCATTGTCCCCTGGGCCCTAGAATACAGAGAAACACATTGAAGCCAAAGCCTCTTATGGAACACACTAGCTATGTGACCTTGGCAAGTGACTAATACCTCTGAGCCTCAGTTTATTTGCTCTTGAAAGGGTGGCAGTCATTATATTCTCAGAGGGATGGAACAGAGATCAAATGAAATAAGTTATTAAAATGCCTACTATAATATCCAACACACAGTGGATGTGAAATAAATGTTAGATATCATTGTCATCGTCATCAGTTAGTATTAACTGATTCTCACTGCCCAAGGATGACGCTTTCAAATTTCCCAAGGCTACACCTTGTCAGCACTCTGACTCAGGAACCATTTACAAGCAGTATGGAATAGTGGAAAAGGTGGGCTTTAGGGTCAAAGAGGCTTTACCTAGAGCAAATCCTTAAGATGCATTTCTTCAACTATAAAGTATAGATAATTATACCTTCCTCACCAAATCAGGGAAGACTAAAGATAATGCAAAAAAAGGAACCTGGCACATAAGAAGTGCTCTCCACATCTTGGCTATTTTCACTTTACGCCCATGGGGCTTATCTATTCACAAGTTCCAACATGCCTTCCTCATTTCTGCCTCCATGTCTTTGTTTAGCCTGGTTGCCCCTTCTGTCCTATTTAACCATCTTCATCTCTGGAAACTTCCATGCATCTTTCTAGTCTCAGTTCCATCTGAGAGCATTTGTGAAGTTTTCTTTGACCACAATGGCTTTTCTCACCTCTGAACTCATATTAAAGTTTTATCTTATAAGAAGATAGATCAAATTATCACACTTATCTTCTGTTGGGTAATAAAAGGTAGAAACCCAGAGAATCCCAAGATTGTTCCACTGTGACCACTGTTAGGCCTACTAGAAAGTAGGCATTCAGGCAATAATAGGCAGAAAGAACTCCAGTCACATGTGGCCAAAGAGCAGTTTCCCAGGGAACTGTCCCTGAGATCCCTGGACTACGATCCCCACGTCATCTAGGAGGGTCACTTGCACTTCCAAAAGTCAACTCCCTGATTCAAGAGGGTCTCATAACAGAAAGTGGTCAATGGGTTCATCGATAAATTAAGGCACACTGGAGCTTCCAGCATGTGGACAGGCTGGTTGGGCACTGGACACATCAGCTGACATCCACGTGAGTGGCTGCTGTTTCCGTCTCCCTGTGGGCCTGACTCCAGCTGCTCCTTCAGCCATTCAGCGCAATCAGATTGAGCTGTTCCTCTCTACAAACATTGGACAGTGGTGAGCAGAGCTGCAGAGGATACAGCCAACTCCTTCGCATGTCATCCAGACCCTGCACAGTCTGACCCCAGCCCTTCCCAGGCTCTTCTTCTGTGGCAGTCACCACCTGCTTCTTGCTGTTCCCCAAGCCCACCATAATCTGCCTAGTCTCCCCGCTACTTGGCATGTCCTTCTTTAGCTTCTTTACCTCATCTTACTCAGACTATAAACCCAGCTCAGATGTTGCCTCCTATAAAGAACCCTGCCACCCTTTCACAGAGTTTATTCCCAGTTCTCTCTGCAGCCCTCTATTACTGAGCTCTTCACGGTACTGCCAGTGTGACCATGGCAAGTTCCTGCCAGCATGCCCACACACAAAGTACTGCCAGCGTGCCTACTCATTTCTCCCCCACAAGACCACATGCATTATGAGGTCAAGAAGAATTTTATAACCCTTCTGTCTGCCCAGCAAGGTTTCTGACTACCAATACACTTTATTTAATGCACTGATTAAGAGAACAGAAATAAATGAATGAATGATGCTGTTTCTAACAAGAGACACCATACTTCCCAGCCTTCCCATCCAAGATGCCTGGAAATTACTCTTGGAAGATCTGCATTGTGGAAACTAGACAGAGCCACAGAGCCATTTTTGCAAAAGGTGAGCACCCCTGGGGGTGGGAAAGAGAAGTACTTGTGTCCAGAATAATAACTCTCCCAGAAAACATTAAGTCAGAGAGGTCTTTCATTTTTGAATTTTTTATTTTCACCTTTGTATATCTGCATACAGGTCTGAATTCAAATGAACTTTGGTAAGTGACATTCTATAAAAATATCCTAATTATTTTTTAGTTCACTAAGTAGCTGTAACCCCAGGCCTGGTGAATCCCATATCCGGTAACTGCAACTGCTCTGTGAAGCATCATCCCCAGGATTTTTCCCTCTGGTGATTACTGAGCAATCCATTTTCACCTTTAGAACTGGCACAGGGTTTGTGCCCACCTGTTTATTTTCTGGCTAATTTAGTTCTTTTACATACTATGACCTTCTGTGCCCCACATGCAATACAGGAGTCATCCTTACTAGGACTTCCTTTAGATGGGTCACGGAAGTGTGTGAGGCATAAGTAATATACCAACTCTTAAACCCAGGCAGAATGAGTCCCTATCTAATGTCCCAGGAAAGCCTATAATGCTGTTTTATAAAGGAAACAAAATATCCTCTTGATCTTGGCTATTTTCTATAGGAAAATGCCTCCCCAAGTACATCCTTTCCTACACATTCTGTAGTGGAACATTTATGGGGTCAGAGGAAGTCACTAAAAACTTGCCCAAGCTATTTAGCTCATATTCATTAACTGCTTAATACAAGACCGGAGGAGCTTTACCAAGGGCCTCACATGGCTTGTTTCATCTTTCCCCAGCCTCCTTGGTCCTGCAGATGAGGAACCTGGAGCACAGGGGCCAATAACTCACCCAAGATCACATGGCTCATGGGTGTTGAAGTAAGCTTTTTTAGGTCAACTCTGCTGGCTCCAGAGCCTGAAAGTATAACCATTGCTCTAGGCTCTGTGGCACACTGCCAGACTTCTTGTTCAAGAAGAGTTTTTCCAACATGGGTAACTCCTAGACAGCTCTCATAAGACCTTACTCCTTTAGGCATTTTAGAGTATATTTGTATGGTATTCTCTTTTTGAAACAATTATTTAAAAACATATGGTTCAAATATGCATCACATAGAGACATACAAGCCTCTTTTAAAATTTTTTAAATGATAAAAAGCTACACAGGGAAAAGAAAACTGTGCCCTCTTGACCCAAACTTTTAGATTTTGGTATAAAGTGTTTTCACTGGGTGCAAAGTGACCAACTCCCTTAGTCAGTGGAAACAGGTGAACTTGGTATGCCATTGTCCACAACCAGATGAGTTTCTCAAGGAGGCTCATTGGTCCTCAAACATTTATTAAGTATGCCCTCTGCATGAGACAGTCGCTGGGCAGTACGCGGGAATGGGGAACAAGGAGACATGGCCCTAGCTCTGCCAGAGCGTACAGGCAGTAGCTCACTTCCTTGGGGAATTCAAGGCCCACAGACTGACCATAACATTCGATGTACCAAAGCCCATAAGGCGAGAAGTTCAGAAGAGAAAGAAATCATAACCACCTTGAAAAATATCAACTTGCTTTATTGGAAAAGGTCAATGTCTTGCCTCCAGCTTTCATCAGTGCTCAGTGACCAGTACTGGGAGGGCCATGCCAAGGGAAAAGCTGAGATGGAAGAAGCCACATGTTCATTGCAAATGAGAAATTTTAAAAATATATGTAAGCTGCCACTGAACACCCAATAGTCTAACTAATGGATTAATTTTTATTAATATTTTAATGAGTATCAATTTTCATTTCCAACAGGCAATATATGCATACGCTAAAACAAACTGAAGATCAAGCAAACCAAATTGTTAGGCAGTGAGGTTTCCCTCTACCCTGAGAGGCAGCCTCTCTAAGCCGGTTCTTGGACCCCTTCAAACGAGAGTTCTATGCATTTTAATGGCAGAAGTTTATAATGCCTTCAGCTTCTGGGCCACTCAGGCCTAAGTTAGGTGGCCCATTCCGAAGGCTGGCCACAGAGATGGGTCAGGAAAGTGGACAATGGAAAGATAAATTAGGAAGAACTGCTCCAGGCCTGGTCAACTCAGGGGCACTGTCCCATTGGCCACCTCCTGTGCATAGGACTGGGACAGGGAAGGGAGCCAAGCCTTCCATACTCATAGCTCACCCCACAACTGCTAGGCAGCACCCACCTTTTAGAGAGAAGTAAAGTATGTGCTGGGAGAAAGAGGCAAATGGGGGAGAGATTCTGGAAAATTCTAAGGAGGTTTTAAGCACTCTTCAGGCAGACCCGCCCAGCCGCTGTTTAGGGTTTCCTTACTGGGGTGCTGGGGCGGATGTTACCCAGTGGGGTTCAAGGCAGTGCCTTGGTGGTGAGATGAGAAGTTTTTAAATGTATGCCTTTCTAAAGCCACTCTCCCTGCATCTCAGAGAAGCACCCAGCTGGTGTGAATCGACCAGGACAGCAAATCCAGTTATTTATCTCCCTGTCCCGAGTTACATTTATAAAGTAACGAATGGTCCATTAAACTAAGTTTGGGCACCTGTCTCGCCACAGCCACCTCGTCGCCCGCACCCTTAGCCGGAGGCCGTGGACGTGGGCTGCAGCCCTCCAGCCTCAATCCCCTCCCTCTGTCACCCCGCTCGCTTCCCTCCTCCTCCCGCCCTCCCCCCGGTTATTTGTGAGATTAGAGTTCATTAATTAAATCCTGTGCTTAGATCGAACTGTAACATTATTCCAATCACATTTATCTTGCAGGCGGCGGAGGAGGTGGCAGCCTCGCTGGAAACGCGCGGGGGAGCCGGCGCCCGCGGCCGGGGACGCACAGCGCGGCGCTCCATCGCCACGCCGCCGCGCAGACCCTCCATCTTCCTGCCTGGCCTCCGGGCCCCGCTCGCCCCTGCCTGCGGGGTCAGGCTCCTCTCTGGGGCTGCTGCCCGCCCCCATCCCCCAGGCCTCCGCGGCTCTCCTGCCCGGTTCCCCTCCCCCGCCACACACGCTGACACGCGCGCGCGAACACACACTCACACACCCGCACACACCAGCGAGCGGCTGGCCTCTCAATGGACCGATTTCCCCTCTTTCCCTGATCCCAGTCCAGCCCGGGATGAGAAATTGCAAAATGGCCCGGGTCGCCAGTGTGCTGGGGCTGGTCATGCTCAGCGTCGCCCTGCTTATTTTATCGCTCATCAGCTACGTGTCCCTGAAAAAGGAGAACATCTTCACCACTCCCAAGTACGCCAGCCCGGGGGCGCCCCGAATGTACATGTTCCACGCGGGATTCCGGTGAGTGCGGGCCTCTGAGCGCCCTCGGGCATCTGATTTGGGGGGACGGCGGTGTGGGGTGGAGAGGGGGGGTGACAGGGAGTGTTCTGGCTTCTCTAAGACTTCAGGCTGGATAACTGCGTGGTCCTTCCCCTCCTCTCTGATTCTCCCTTCCCCCTTTCCTTTATTTATTTATTTTTTAAACCCGAAGTCCCTAAAAGCTGTTGTCCTAATCGATGTGATTGCATTTCTCGTATTCTTCCTCGGCATCCCTTCCCCCATTTCAAAAATGCGGGGAGGGCTTAACGAGAACGCTGGTGGAGGGAGAGGCGCTGTGTGTGTTTGGGAGGGGGCGGTGAAGCGGGACTCGCGAGCGGTGAGCGCCTTCCCGGTGCCGGGTTCCAGGACTCTGCCTCCAGGCTCTCGACCGTACGGGGCGATTTAATGGCGCAGGCGCCGGACTCGCCCTGAGTTCTTCTCCGCGCCTCTCCCCAACCCCCATCAAATGATAACCGGGCCTGTGCTCTTGAAGCCCCTGGTGTATTCTACCACGATCCTCCCCCAACACACACACACCCCCACCCCCGCTGCCACCCGCCTCCCCCTTTCCGGGATTTCTGCCGTTCCCCCGCCCTCTGCGGGAAGCGAGCCTCCTAAGGGCCGCCTACCCTCGCCCCAGGTTCGGGTCACCGCCGGGCGAGGGGCTGGACTGAGTAGGCGCCAGGCGAGGCTTGGCGCAGCTCATTGAGAACCCCTGCCTCTACCTGTGACCGCAGGAGTCCTCCCGGCAAGGCCTCCTGGGGAACAAATGGCAAATACAAACTGCAACCGGGTCCAAGCCGGGCCAGAGGTGTAGAACTTAGGGAAGCCCCACCAGGACAGAGTAGCGGGACTGCCCAGCGGCCTCCGGGGTCCCCAGTTGGGTGACAGGGAGTGCAGTCAGACCTAGGCTCGGGGAGTTAAAAGGTTAAGGCAGAAGCCACCCCAGCCTTCCCCTGGGTCTCCGATTTCCTCTGCCCTTTCTCCAAAAATCAATTCACCCAGACGGCAGAGTCGCAGGTCGGAGAAGCGGGGGACGCGGCCGCTGTCCGCGGTGCTGACTCCCCGGTCCGCGCCGCGCCCGGGCGCCGGCAGTGCTCCTGGCTCCCGCCCCTGAGCTCCGCGAGACGGCCATTTTATGGTCTCTCCCGCACCCGGAGGGTTGGACAATGGAGACAGACCTCCCCAGTTTTCTTACTCCCTCACAGGTGTGTATGGGGAGTAGAGGATGGACCAACTGAGAGGGGGCTCTGGGACGGGATGGAGCCCGTTCGTGTGCCAGCTGCGCCCCCCACCAGCTGGCTGCACCTTAATGGCTACCTCGGCTTCCCCAGCCGAGGCCAGCACGTTTGTCTGTACTCATGCTCCTCTCCAGGTCACAGTTTGCGCTGAAGTTTCTAGATCCGTCATTTGTGCCCATTACGAATTCTCTGACCCATGAACTCCAAGAGAAACCTTCTAAGTGGACATTTAATCGGACAGCGTTTTTACATCAAAGGTAGGATAGGGGGAAAAGATCAAAAAGCTGTTTTTGCACTGTGGAGCTCAAAAAAAAAAAAATCTATCCTCCTCCTGAGCTGTATTTGTCTTCTTGGCCTTACTGCACAAATTCTGGTGATTCGTAACCCTTTTTTATGCATGTAGTGTTTTTCATCAAAAGAAAACATCAGGAAGACCAATTTGAATGGAAGAAAAACAATATTTTCAATATCCTCCCTAACTTCACCTTCACTGAGCACCATGGTCTATAGTTAACCAACTATTAAAAAAAAAAAAGTTATTGCAGGAAGACCACCCAATGCCTCTTCATTCCCCCACTGATAAAAACTGAAAAAATAAATACATAGAATTGTCTCACTGAAACACACAGAAAATACTGTAATTCATCCCTATCAAATTACTAGTGAAAATCTTGGCCCAGATATATGCAAGTATTTAAGTACGGTTTTGTTTTGGGTTTGCCTGTTTGTTTTCATTATGCCCTTACAGCTTTTAACATACTGTAAAAGCTACTCAACATTATTTTATTAGTTGTCTTGTAGCAGCCTTGTTTTTACATGAAGGAGTTTATGTGTATGTGTGTGTGTGGGGGGGTGTTTTTGGTTGTGAGGTGGGAAGAAGGATGGGATTTATTGAAATTTATTTATTCTCCTCAGTGATTATGGTCTACTCTTAGAAACCTCAGATAAGTCAGTTCTCTTTTCTTCTTGGTAGGATTATTGTTCTGTGAGTGGAATGTGAGCCATCTAGTGTATTCATTAGGGGTGTGAATACTTATTTTACATGTACTTATTTTACCACTCTATTTAGGGGGTTGTGTTTTGGTCACAGAATTTCTAGTTACTGCACTCCTCTTTTTTTTTTTTCAATTTAATGACAGAATTAAAACAAATTTGGTAGATCCATGTTAGGAGAATGTTGTTTACTTGAAGAGTTGACATACAGTCTGATTATGGTTAAAATTTTTAAAACACTGTTCAATTAGAAATTAGTCCATGACAATAATTGATTGTTTTTAAAGACCTAGAAGTGTATTTTTTTCCATTTTTTTATTATTGGAATATAGCTGATAAACAATATTATTGGTATATTGCTTTCAGATGTACAATATAGTGACTTGATAATTATATACATTACTAGAAGCTCACCACAGTTAGTTACCCCCTGTTACCATACCAAGATATTAGAAGTCCCTTTTCTTAACTATTGATTTTTAAATCCAGTATTGCTTTTACAGACAACCCAGAAAACACTAATGGGTAGAACTCACTATACCTTTTCCCAAAACATGTTTCTAACTCAATAAAAATATTCTTCCTACAATAGGCCATGTGACCCAAATGACCAGTCAGAACAATATCTCTTTTTCAAAACCTCCTTTGAACCCATTTATGAGATAATCTTTGGTTAATTTTATCAGTATCAAGCTAAGCTTACCCTGCCTTTGTAACAGTTTGTAGAAAACAATATTGGTAACTTTGGAAATTTCAGAATAAAGCTTTCAGATTATGTTGCTCTATACTTTGACAAGTGAAATAATTTTTTGAAATAAAATCCCAGGTAAAGCGATGATAGGTGAAGCATTTAGTTTCAATCTTGCTATGCTTTTAGGCAAAAGACACAGGAAATTCAATGTGATTTCTTAGAATTGGAGAATCTAGTAGCAAAGTAACATTTTACTTGTCTTTCTTAGATATTTTAAATATCTGAGACTTTAAGAAGAGCTGCTTAATTTTACTTAAAGCTCAACATGAAAGCAACCCAAAATTAGTGTTAAATATCACCCTTGCCTTGCTTATCCTCTAAATTCTTAGAATACACACATATTTCTAGATACAATACCCTATTTTTCTAAGGATTAAGTTTCTTCAACTGAATTGTTTCTATACAATCAAGTAGAAAAATATCCGTTTCACTATTCAAAGGACTTTAATGAGGTTATGTCATTTCTATTAAATATTCAACTACACCCACTGTTATTACCATTTTCATATTTTAATAATAGATAGTACTATACTGACTCATATCTATTTGGCTTATTTAGACACCAGAGATATTTGATCCTTGAATACTACAGTCCAATAGCAAACAAGTAGTCCCTAGTTACAAATTCTAAGTCACCAATGTTTGTGCATTAATATAAGCTCTTTGGGGCCTCTGTAAATTGTCTCCCTGTATTCTCCGACACAACTTGGCCTATGCCTTCCCCTTGATCAAATACACTCTTCACATAGAGTAGAAAACCAAAGATTGGCAGCTAAAACTGTAAATTGTAACATTTACAAGCCTGGAAGGATTACCTCTAAGAACCTGCCTGAGAGATTAGCACATGTCTGTAGATTCTGAAGCGGTCCTCCACACAAAGACCATAATTACTGTGAACGTGTAGTCTTTCTTGGATTCACTGTGCCTATGATTCTTGTCTGAATAAAATGCCAGCATAAGACATAAAATGAAAAAATCAATTCTTTTGAATGGGATGCATTTAATGAAATTTCTTTTTATTTTAGGCAAGAAATTCTTCAGCATGTCGATGTAATAAAAAATTTTTCTTTGACCAAGAATAGTGTTCGGATCGGACAACTGATGCACTATGATTATTCCAGCCATAAATATGTTTTCTCTATTAGCAATAACTTCCGATCACTACTTCCAGATGTGTCTCCCATTCTGAATAAGCATTATAATATTTGTGCTGTGGTTGGAAATAGTGGGATCCTGACAGGGAGTCGGTGTGGACAAGAAATAGATAAGTCAGATTTTGTTTTCCGTTGCAATTTTGCCCCTACGGAGGCTTTCCAAAGAGATGTTGGAAGGAAAACCAACCTGACCACCTTCAACCCCAGCATCCTGGAAAAATATTACAACAATCTTTTGACCATTCAGGACCGTAACAACTTTTTCCTCAGTTTAAAAAAGCTCGAGGGGGCTATTCTTTGGATCCCTGCATTTTTCTTCCATACTTCTGCAACTGTCACCAGGACATTAGTTGACTTTTTTGTTGAACACAGAGGTCAGTTAAAAGTCCAGTTGGCGTGGCCTGGAAATATAATGCAACATGTCAACAGGTGTGTATATTTTATTGCCTTTAACTTATACCCAACCAGATGGCAAATCAATATTTCAATCTCTTGGGGGTGGGAGGTATCCAGTTAGTTAGTTGTGGTTAGCTTAGTATTTTAGGGCAAATGGTTATGTTTTGTAATGAATAAATGAATCATTCTAGGTTAGAATTTCAATCTCCTCCTCCCATCTGGTAACCAAGTGCCAAACGGGGAGTTTGATATCTCATCAGTCTCCCCTCTCTGCTTCCTGTCCCCTCCATTGTTGGTAAATCTAATGATCAATCATAGAAATCAAGACAAATCAAGAATTTTCTTTAAATGGGTAACTACATCCCAATAATGCTAATGGCTAAATTAAACAAGTTAAGCATTTTCTTTTAAAGAAGCAATTGACTTAAAATGTCCATTTTTATTAGATATTTGGGTGTTTTGTATATGTCCAAGATTAGAAAACCATGTAGGTAAATCATAAGTTCTATAATCTGCCTTAAAATGTGAGATTTGATAAACCAAAAATTATATGACTTCATAATTCAGTAACTTGGCCTTAGACAGATTAACCAAAATATGCAGTATTTTCATCTAGAGTGATGAGTTTTAACTCTTGGCTATATGTTAGAATTACTTGGAGAGCTTTAAAATATACTATTGCCTGGGCTCTACTTCAAGAAATTCTAATGTAATTCATCTGATGGAGGAGGTGATGGGCCCAGATATTTGGTATTTCTTAACTCCCCAAATGATTTTAATGTGCAGTCAGAATTGGGTGCCACTAATCCAGAGCATTTTATAAAGCAAGTTAAATTGTAGGATTTTTTTCTTCTTTAAGTCTTCTAAGGAAATTGCCTCAACTCTAATTTCCCTTATGCAAGTCCTAATATACTATCCAGATATTACTATAAATTAGAGTAGATTCTGGGGCCTGGTAAATAGGGAATTCTAAAGATTTTTATCCCACAGTATATTATTCCCATTCTGTACTCCACTAAAATCCTCCACATTTAAGATTTTTAGTTGGTCTTTCACAGAAGGAGGAATCATTGTCTAATAAAACTGGTATGTATCTAACAGGTAGGGTAATACCATAATTTATAATCCAAACTGAAACTTTTTCTTTGAGAGAAAGAGGGCACTGCTAATAATTACAAGGATAACAGGCAAACGCTGGTATTATCCCCATTTCCCAGGGTATGGTCACCTTTTTAAAGAGGTAATGTAGTCCAACTGCTAAGTTTAAAGATAAGTCAACTGAGGTACTAGGAACAGGAGTTATTTACCCAACCCCACTGCCCAAAATTGGCAGAACAAGTATTAGAAGCCAGGCCAACCTGGTCTTTTGACCTCATAATTTTGCTCTTCTCTAGTTCTATTTAAGTTCAGCTGTACCAAAAGAATTGTCAGAAGCCATTCTAACTCCTTAGATAAGAATATTAAAGCCAAGACTGAACTTTTAAATTGCAACTAGAAGGGAAAGGTCCATCTTTGAAGCCTTCAAATAGTAATGAAGGGAGTGCATATGCTTAGATACTTCAGGAAACTGGCCTGTGTGGCCTACCCTGCCCCCGACCTTTCAGAAGTCCCATGGAATTAGTTATAATGCCCCACAACCACTCATGTTGACAGCAAACATATTGGTTCAATGGAAACTCAAAGGAAATACAATCTATAGTAACAACCTGATTCATGAACAGTTCAATTCTCTTTGCACAGCCAACGATAAACACACGTACATGCATACACATGCACATGTGCACACACACACTCCACGGCAATCTCCAATATTTGACAGTTTTGGTGGGAAAGCTTCAAATTACTCTCTAAACACAGAAGGAAAAACAAACATAGTGTAGCCTTTTCTTTCAGATCATAAAGCATGTAAATATTTTCCTTAGGTCCCAGCATGCTAAAGAAGAACTTGAGAACCCCCAGTTAGAAGACAAAGAGGCAGGGAATATGATTTTCTGGGCACAGGTATTCTTATATACACCCTTGCGTCAGCAATATGTGAAGAGATCCACTTGTATGGATTTTGGCCTTTTGGATTTGACCCCAACACGAGGGAACAGAAACATAAGGCTCACAACCTTTCTAGACCCAGCAAGAAGGATTTAATCTCTGGCTTTGGGTAAAGAAGTGACAGGAGTTCCCCTTAGATTAAACAACCTCCTCCCCACTTCCAACGGTGCTTTGTGTATGAAGAAGCATAGTCATTCTCACTGGTGACCTTCTGTGGTATCACCAGCAAGTCAGAGCCACCACTCCTTAAGACAACCCAGACACAGGACTGGCTTCAAACATGTGCAACCTGTGTAGTCACACAGGAGCTGTGCTCAGAAGGCCTGGCACTTGGTTTAATGCTCTGCTACTACTCTCTCAAAATTCTCAATAATGTTTTAAGGAAGGGCCCACATTTTCATTTTGCACTGGGTCTCCCAAACTATGTAGCCTGTGCTGCTTAGAGGTGGTTGTCTAAAAGATAGATTCAAAGCAAGTACCGTTTAAATCACATGTACAGACCCACCTCCCAGCCCAGTCAGAGTGACCTATCTGATTGAAACCTTCAACACTGGCCTCTGAATCCACATGTACTTATTGTTCCACAGGTACTGGAAAAACAAACATTTGTCACCCAAACGGCTGAGCACAGGTATTCTTATGTACACCCTTGCATCAGCAATATGTGAAGAGATCCACTTGTATGGATTTTGGCCTTTTGGATTTGACCCCAACACGAGGGAAGATCTTCCATACCATTACTATGACAAAAAAGGAACCAAATTTACCACCAAGTGGCAGGAGTCCCACCAGCTGCCTGCTGAGTTTCAGCTGCTGTACCGAATGCATGGGGAAGGGCTCACCAAGCTGACTCTGTCACACTGTGCCTAAGAACTCCAAACAGAGAGTGCCAATCGGCTGTTTAAAAAGTGCCCCAACTCACAATGAATAGTCTTCAGAATCAAACCCTAGAGAATTTCTTATAAGGATCGTGTGCCGTTTAAAAGGAAAGATGTCTTCCCTCCCTTTTTTGCACTGCTCTTTTGAGTGTCTCAGCAGGACAAACGCACTGAAGCCACATGATTTCAACTTGACTGATAAAGGAAATGTTACATTTGGAACTATGTTGCTAACAGAATGGTCTGAAGTATTTTCATCTTTGTATTTTGATAATAAACTGCCTCCCATTTTTTAGGAGGACTAGAGCTGTAGTTTCTACAGCTTTGCTTAGACACAGTCCTCATAATCAGAGGCCTCAGGCCAATTTGGGCAGGATTTCAGTTTTTGGGTGGGATAAAACTCTCCAGAATAGAAACATAAAGAACTGATTTGCATCTCATCTCTATCTCCAACCATGTCCCTTGCCCCACCACCATGGAGTTTAATAATTTGCTAGGAATCATACTGAATTAGCTTTGCTTGTATCTGTTGCATTTGTACTAGATGTGTTCAAGGTTCTGGGTAACTTTGATGTTTCATGACAAACCGAGCAAATCATGATAGACCCCCTTATGATTACTTTGGTAAGAAACACGTCTTACAAAGTTATCACTAGTCCATGAAGTCTACAACACGGTGGCCCCTCTGTGGTGCGTGGCTTATAATGCAGTGCATCTCTCACTACCAGAAAGAAAGCCTGTGTCATGGGTGGCACTGTATTTCTTGCCATGAGTGCTATTATGGCAGATGACTTATTACCACATTTGCAAGGGCATTCCAGCATGAGTTTAGTGCCTACACAATCCCAACCCAGGCACTGGGCTGGGAATCCTCTCAAAATATAGAGACAGTGAATCAGCTTAAAAACCTGGGAAGCCTGGGACATAAAGAAGAAAACGAAGAAGAAAATGAAGTAGAATGCTTAGAAATTGTTATGAAGTTGTATATACCCTGAAGTGTTGTAACCAAGCTGCCTGTTCAGAGCTGTTGAGACCCAGCAGGGTTAGAGAATAGAAGCTTCCAGGTTGGCCCAGCCAGGCCCCCATGTGAATAGGGCTGAAGTGAGGTCCTCTGTGGTGTCACTGTGCTCACCAGCACCATTTGTCCTCTTTAACACTGTATGAGGAGACACTGTATAGTCTCTCTTTCCACTGGAACTGGATCTGTGCATCTACAAATTAAGCATTTCCAAAGGAAGAGCCACTAGGTAGTGGCAAGATTTGGTACAAAATAACCCTTGAAATTTAAAGGAATTAGTTAGCCATTCTCTTCTTCATTATTTCAGCTTTAGAAGTTGAAATCACATCACTCCAGTCCCTGGCTTTTCACAGAGCAGCACTTTATTCTTCCAGTTCAGCCCAAAGTCTGGCCAAGTTGATGTTAAATTTTAATAAGAGTTTCTTCTTTCCAAATGCCAGTCAAGCACATTTATGATATAATTGGGTGGGGTGGCTTGTTCTTTTCCAGAAATCTCATCTAGGTTGCCTACAATGTTACAAATACTGTTTAAAATAATTGCTGTAATTTGATCAATAAATATGAGAGATGCCCTCTCAAAAAAAAAAATAATAATAATTGCTGTAGTTCAGTGTTCAACTAACTCTGCCCCTCTTTGAGAGGAATAATCATGCCTAAAATTAAACTAAATACAATAATGAAAGACAGAGTCCTTATGCCCACGTGCTCCCTGGTCTTAAAAATGAGCTGCTTATTCTAATAGTTTTTCAGAAAGCTAATCAAAACAGCTAACACAGATCCAGATAATTAACTAGTGAAGGAAAAACATACAGGCTCAAATGTGTTGCCAAGAGTGGCATATCTTACAAGGGTATATGAATGGCGATCACCCAAATAGATGGGAAGAAGCAGGAATGGCTGTTTTGAAATGGGAAACACTAAATAGCTCAATTCTCAGAATAATTATGAGAGATAGTAGAAAAATTTTTTAATTCAACAGTACCATTTGATGGGCACCAAAGCCACACTATGCTTATTCCCCAACAGTCCTGTGGTTCTCGTGCTGTGCTCTGCTGGGATCACTGCGAGACTGATAACTGATGCAAGTGTTTAGTCGCCTCTTCCTAAGCACTTAGTTCACTTAGTCACAGCTAAGTGATATTAATGCCAGTATTACAGGGGCCAGATTCTGACTCTGGAGTTTTAATCTCAATGTACCCATTAGATTTCACTAAATATAAATATGTAGAATCGAAAAAGACCATCCTTCCCTTTTCTTTAAAAGTCTCTGAAGAAAGTTCCAAGTCTTCCCATATTGGTTAACCATAGTTCTCATACTTTATAAATTCTTCACACACAGGCTGTATCCCTCCTATTGAAAAAAATAGATGCAATATGTAGGTAAAGCATTTATCCCAGTTTTCAGCACATAGTAGGCACTCAAGGTATGGCAGCATTTACTATTTTTATTGTTACTTATGCCCTGGACCTACAGTTCCAGCATAGAGAAAAACAGCCTCTAGCTGATCATACAAAATCTTTTTGTTTAAATAGTGTTTCAAAGATTAAACCTATGTAACCACTGTCATAACCAAAATTGTTGGTGGGTCCCATGAGTCCTGACTAGGTAGGTGGTGGTGTAAGTCATCAGAACTTCCGGGCCTGTGTGTTCAACAGCAATGAATTGCACAGACAGGACCATAGGGTTCACCCTCCTGATTCAGCTACAGATGCAAACCACTGGCTTTGGCACTGCCTTCTAGGCTAAGTGCATCCTTCTGTCAGAACCCTTCCTCTTAGGATACTCACAGCAGAATCCCCCTTCAGCTATTTGAATAAATTTCACCATAAAGCCCCCAAGGCTCTCTACACGTGACACCAACACAAATGACCAATCCAGTTACAGAAGAGGAACACACCCTAAAACACTTAGCAAACTGCTTAATGCTAGTACCTCAGTTTTCTTTGTTCTGAGGGTCCTGTGCAGATGTGTAGATCCAGGGAAGACAGGGATAAGCGTAGTATCAAGAATTTCCCCCACACCCACAAAACCTTTCCCAGATTTGATGACTAAAACACCTATGGTTCCTCCCCCTTTGCTTTTGTGTCTTAAGTGTCCTTGCCTATTGTAAAAGTGCTGTGTGTTTAGCAGTGCTGTGTGCTTAGCAGTGCTGTGACTGCTGAACCATTTGTCTGTGACCTTGATGTTAGGCACCTGACCAGGGAGCTACCCGCCAGGACATGCGAGGGGAAAGGCTCCCCTGCCTCCTTGTGCCCAGGCCTCCAGTTACACATGAATGTGAACACCAGGACTAACGTAATTTGGTGGGGAAGCTAAGGAACGGAAGAGCATTTCTTCTGACTATGAGAAAGGCACTAATTATTAGATACTCTTGGACTGCAAAAAGGTATTGAACTGAGGCCAGAAGACCCAGGGACAGAATTGTAGAGCCCTATGACACTGGAAATTGAAGAGCCTTTGAGCTTTCCTAGTCCTAATTCCTGACTTTACAAATGAGAAATGGAGAAACAGAGAGGCTCGGTGATTTTCACAAGATTGCACAGTTAATTACTGGAGAAATGATGACTCTTCATCTAGTACTTCTTGACCTTATCTGCAGCACAAATGAAGATGGGCTCAAAGGGAAAATGATTTTGGTCTGTGGTCTACAAGGCACAGAAAATAAGTTAGAGAGGCTATAAAGGAAGAAAGAAGATTCTCCCCTCAACACGGTAATTATCTCTCAATGCAAAACAATAAAGGAGATTTTAGGTATATAGCAGTCCACTGGTAATAAACTACATTGTACCCTGAAATAAGAGAAAGCCCCTTTGGTAAATTGTGATTCTGGTAAATCACAATTCAGTTACTGACAGCTCACAGTTGACAGCTGAAGTCTTATCCAATAATCTAGTCACAATAATAAAACCTTGTTTTAGTAATATGTATGTATAATTTAAAAGTTGAATACAGAGAATGGTTATGTACTTTTTTTTTTCATTTTTATTCAACTTATTTAACCTTAAAGGAAAACAGGACATCTATTGTACTTCTCATACGTATAATTTTTAGCCCCTGGAGGTAAGAAATAGCTTTTGTTGATGCCTTCCATATTGTAAGTAATTCCAACAGCAGACTTTGCATTATTGCATTTATTTAGTTCAATATGCTAAAATGTGCAAATAATAATAATTTGGGCTGAGTCTTCATAAGTGAAATGACAGACTGAGCAATTTCCTGTATAATTCTGGATCCTTTTTCACCCTAATTGTTTTAATGTACCAGGCAAAAGTATCTGTTTAGCCTCTGCTTCTCCCTGAATGTACAGAACTATCCATTTACTTACCAGAGGGTAGGGGCTGTGTGTATATGGCTGAAAAACCCAGACGAAGCATCCCAGTTGCTGGAGACTTAGAGCCCCTGGGCCACCTGATTGACTGGTCTGGGCTCTGTGCCCCAATTAAACAAGGCCACAGGTGAGTTGATACCAAGGACCAAAATGACTGAAATGCCTCTCTCCACACTGATTGCTTTGCCACATAGATATAACATTTGAAAAATGAGAAAGATTTTAGAATGTTATTATTGTATTACACAGTACTTCTTAAAATTTCTTTTTATTGTGGTGAATTATTACTGAAGATACATGTATTTGAATAGATGTTTTCATCCTCAGTGAAACTCATTCTTGTGTTGTTGATTGCAGTGGAATCACAGTGAAGAGCCTGTTGCAGAATAACTGACCCCAGTGTAAGATTACAATGGGATTACGGGGTTAGGGCCTGGTTACGCTGCTGATCCACCAGCAAACAAAGCTGTATGACATAAGGAGCTCTTTACAGTGTAAGATTACAATGGGATTACGGGGTTAGGGCCTGGTTACGCTGCTGATCCACCAGCAAACAAAGCTGTATGACATAAGGAGCTCTTTAAAATACGGTTCTTGCTCCCTACCCCAGACCTTTGATTCCAAGTGTCCTGGGATAAGCCCAGCTTACAGAAATTCCCAGGCAATTCTAATGTGGCCAGCATTTGGGATCCAACAACATATAATAAAGTCATATATACCATATGACCAAAGTGGCTGAATGTTTATCATTCCTCATGCAATTACTATCAGATCTGTTCCTTGACATTGTCATGATATATGGCAATAAAGACACAGTCTTAGTGACTCTACTATTCAACTGTTCTGGCTGAATTGACCAGTCACTAATTAATTGGTAAGCAAATAGTAACTGCTTAATTTAGTCAGAATGGATGCAAGCCTGAAGACAGAGTAAGGAACACAGCTTTAATATATTTTATCCCAAGTCCTGCTCTTTACATTTCACTCTTTATATGTCAAACTAAGAGGCAGATCTCAGGTCACTCATCTTTACAGATAGATCAACTGAGAAACAGGGAAGCTAAATGACTCATCCAGATTCTACTTGGATGTCATTCCCAGAGCCTAAAGTATACCTGAAGAGGTCTGATCTCTCAACCTCCAGGTAATGCCCCAAATGCAAAAGTCCTCAGGTTAAAATGAAACCAATTAAAAAAGGAAATTCAAGGAGCTAAAGTTCTTCGACCAACTGAATATAAAAAAGGTTGGCACTGGCTGTCTCGTGCCAACCTCTGCTGAATAAGCTGCCACCATCCTGACGTTACGCCAGGCTCTTTTCTATAGCACATTCAAGGCCTTTATTCATCAGAGATACTAAGGGGCTCCCTTGATTTCCCTTCTGTGGGATTCACAGACAATTTTGCTCTGGCAAACATCTGCTAAATGTTTAACAACTGACTCTGGAGAATGGTGGAGCCCTGGCCTATAGCACTTACCAATTTCTGTGGTATAAATACTCTCAAGCTACTAACTTGATGTCAACCAGCTGAAAATGTAACAATATGTTTTCAAGAGCCAGTATGAGCTGGCTGCGATACAGCACTGCCTAAACAACTCCTGGGTCAGTGAGCACCATGTAGGAGAGGCGAGCAGTAGCTCTTGAGGGACTCCCAGGGGCACCCTCCCCACAAGCACACATTTCTACTTTGGTTAATTCTGACCTTTAGCATATTATTGGGCCCTGAGGCTACAGGCCCTGAGGTGTTCAAAGTATTTCCTAGCCATATGACTTTCAGGAACCTCCCCACAGACTTCTCAGTACTTGAGGAGATTACTAGCCATGGCTTGTCTAATTTCTAAGAGTGGCATTCCAGGTAAACATTCTTAATTTAACTGCCAGTTGTTTGAAACCATGTTTTTCATATTTTTTTTCCATATTCTATAGTCCATCATCTATTTCTAGTTCTCTAATTTTCTCTATCCACTTGGTTCTCATCTTTCTGATACAGCACAAAATTCACAGACATCCAAAACTCAGTGGCAGCAAAGGAGCAGGGTAAGAATAAGACACATCCAATACACTTACCTGGCCCCACCACACCTGGGAGACGCTCCACAGTTCAAATATCTGTACCCAATTAGGGGACACCTAGCTAAGCCTCATGCTAGGGCTTGACTATGCATTCAGCTGGGCTTTACTTGCCCTCAAAAAATTCCTAAGGGGCACAAAACCCCATTAAATAAGAACACCACTGGGCAAACTCTGTAGAGGAAAGTGTCATGGGATGC